TCACATATGGTGGAGGAGAGACAGGCTCTTCCCATCTGCAACAGCCTAATGCTGATGTCTATACCGTTTGCAAAACACTTGTTTCTGGAGCAGATATAAACATGATGTGCTCCTCCTTAATCCAAGTGGCTCCTTGCAGCCAGATATATACTGCTACAGTGACCAGCCTGCCTGGTAGCACATGGAGGTGTGCTCCCTGCCTTTTGCACTGTGGTGTGCCAGGTGCTTCCAAATGGCCATTCAGGCAATTCAGTGCCTTGTGTCAAATTTAAAGGGTCACCAACAGCAGAGCGCATGGGTCAGATTTTGAAGGCAGTCTCCAGGCTATCCTTACCGGCCAGTCTGAATATATTCAGTTGGAATTGAGCAGAAAGGCAAAAAGGCACAAATTTTACATTTGCCCTTTCTGCTGCCAATACTTCACTATCTTTATTAACCAACAATCCACCCTGGGGGGGGGGGGGGGGGGGGGGGGGCACACTAACAAGAGAACACTTTAAACAACCATCCCCCCGGGGGGGGGGGGGAGCAGGGAAATCATTCATAATGAATCAAATCCTTAAGTATCTGTCACCTATTTTACAAGGAATTAAGATTCACCAAGGTCACTGCAGGTAGAACTTGGTGTAAAACTCAGGGATCCTTCAAGGTGCAAATTTTTAGATAAGGGAGAAAGCTCACATTAGGTGCTCGTGTATGCATGTGTAAATCCCCTGATGCGTTGGCTTGGGAAAGCGCAGAACTGTAGGAGTCTTATTATTAGAATGTTTTATTATATCAGTCTTAATATTTCATCTTGGCTAGTAGGAGTAGCTGCGTTAAGGAGAAGCCTCATTCAAAACACACTTGAAAAGGCAGAACAAGGCAGAAAAGACAATGTTCTTCTGTGAAAAAGCTGAAGGCTCATACTATGTGTTAATAAGAAATTGATTTAATAAATTAGCTTTCAGGAAGAAGCTTCCATTTTTTTCTGATAAAACATTAGTACCTTCGGGGGAGGACAAATTCCTCAAGAATTTGCTAATAACATTGTTTTCAGCCTTGAAGTCATCAGTTTGAACCCAGCCAAATTCAGTAGAGGTTAAAAGCTGTTCCAGCCTAAATGGATGTTTGGTGCTCTGTAGAAAATGCTTTTCTGAGTGGCAGAGACCCCTTGGTCTGTAGCATGCCATGGAGGTACCAGAGGTAACTTTAAAGAAGCTGTCTGTGATGCCAAAAACAGCCTATTTGGAGCTGCTTGGATTCAGCACTGGCTGATTTCTCTCTCAGACTTCGCAGCCTGGAGTGCCTCTGTCAGGATCTCATCTATATGACCTGACTGGCATATTCCACAAAGAGGCCCCAGACTGCATAGCAAGCAGAGATTGAGCTGCCTGATTGCTTTACAAGGATCTCCAATGCCTGCAGTCTGCAGTTAAAACTTGCTGCTAGGGCCACAAGCATAGGGAGCTTACCCTGGATAGAAAAAGGATTCATTTACTGAAGCATCTAAGTCAATGTATTCCCTCAGCACTAAATCATGGATTAGAGGAATGCAAATGTAAAATTAGTTTCTTAAGCAGTCTAGTGTTTTTTGGGGGTGTTTTTTTTTTTTCTTGATGTTTTATTTTTGGTTTTGTTTTTTTTTTTAATTTCGTATAGAGTCTTAGAACACTTCTCAGCTGTGACTGAGGAACTTGTAACTGGATCTCTTCAAAGTCTCAGCTTCCAGTACTGCAGAGAGATTTAACAACTAGGTAACAAGAGTGGGAAAAACTGTGTGAGGAGGTTGGAGGCTGAGTTTGTAGGTATTGCAAACTGAGAAACAGGATGCAGAGAAGACAAAAACAGAACCTACAAGAAATACTGCATTGCTACAGATATCACAGGGGGAGACAAACAAGGTCTAATGCAAAGAATATGAATTATTAGAATGCATTTCTCATGCTGTGTACACAAATTATACAGTTGCAATTTTCTGCTGATCTTCATAATAGGAACACTATAGGTCAAATCTGGCCTAATGTATTTTCAGTAATCTAGTGATTAATCTCTAGAAGTGTACCCTGTTTCTTATTCAAATATTTCTATCTTCCTAGTCAACAGAATTCCCATACTAGATGAAGAGTGACATACCTATACAACAGTCCCAGCCTCCTGGGATCCTCTGGAGGAAAAAGAATGCAATGCAAAAGGTCTTTTATGTAATTTTTCAGCTCTCTTGCAACACTGAAGACAAGAAATCTCAAGGAACTCGTGAGTCAGCAACTGTGTAAAACTGAAGGTCCATTCTCCTGGTCCCCATTATCACTGGCCCCCTGTTTTACCAAACAGCTCTTGACAGCAATGGCATTTATCCTGGCACTCATGCAATGAGCAAACCATTGGCTGCTCTAGAGTTCTGCATCCTAAGAAACGCTATACATGTCCTAAATTAATTCAGGAGGAGCAGAAACACAATCAGTAGGACAGCTCACTCCACTGGAGCTAGAACTCACCCTCCTAGCCTAACACAGCTCCACTGAGGCCAGTTGACCCTGTTTGTATTCTCCTGCGTCGACAGGCTAAATGTCCTGTCCTGAGGTACCCACAGTCATCTGCCTACTGTACCTCAGGAATAATTTGCAGTAGTTCCTGCTGCTCCTCATTTAAAAACCTACATTTAAACCTGCATTGAATTACTCCTGCTAATCCTGTTCTAATGCATTTCCTCCATGCTTAATAACTACCCGTGTATTAATCCTGATTTTTACTAATGCAATACAACATTTTATTTATCACATTTATTTCACTCTCTTTCACTTTTGTATTGGGGTCTAGACTGGGCACAGTCTACTGAATCTCTACTACACTCCCCAAATTTATAGTACATCTTTCTAATCCTACCGCATTGTCTCTATCACCCCTTGAGTTAGGCCATGGGCAGACATCTATGACCCAGAGCCTATAACCACATGCCTTTTGGCTGTAACTCATTATGACCTGATGGGGGAATTTTAAAAACAAACAAACAAACAAACAAAAAAACACAACACACAACAAACAAACCCAAAACCAAACAAAACCAAACCAGCAGCCTGTTCAGAAATGCGCTACTGATAAGACACAGAAGAAAGGTAGGGCTTCTGATGGCTCCTTCCATTATCCTCTAACAGTAAAAAAACAACCCACAATCTATATACCATTTGTAGTTTCTACAAACTAAAGACTCTTTCTAGTTCTTTAGCTCATTGTTTTCCAGTCCTTAAAGAGCTGGATAGATGTTAAGCTACCGATATCAAACATGAGGTCAGAGTCCTTCTACCCTATATTTTTATGGGAGAATCTACTGTTTGATGAAAACCTCTGAGAAAAGCTTACAGTAGGTATTGGTGAAGTAAGGTGCTGTTCTCTTCTTCTCAGTAGGTGTGTTAGTTGAAATGCATGCTCCAAGCATGTTGAGAGAACACTGTGCTGACAGAGAAATCTAAGTTTGGATGACATAAAAAATGCAAGAGGGCTAATCTCTTGTGGCCACTGAAAATCTCACAATTAAAAAAAAAAAAAAACCAAACAGAAATCAATCTTATTTTCTTCCAGCTAACTACTTTCTACCAGCCAAAGTTCATGCCCCATTTTCATTTGTATGTAGTACTTTCAACTGATGAAGCACGATTAACAGCATCCTGACCTCTAAATTTCACTTGTGATGTGACTACAGTTAAAGTAAACTCCTGTAATATACATGAATGACAGTGCAGAAAATAAATTTCTGTCACATACATACATATAGGGATGCTCCCCCCCCTTTTATTTTTGTTTACTTGTGAAGTATGAAGTTAGCTTCACTGTTTTTTCCTTTCATATATTTTTGTTTCCCTTTTGACATCTGAAACATCAAAAAGGCATTCCCTTTTCTAGATGACCCCACAAGCAGCACAATAAAGCTGTAACCTACTCTACAGCTCTGCATCTCTTCCTCTGTGGGGAGGGTAGACTGATTCTTATAGCATAAAAAAAAGACCTTGTCTAGGGCCCCCAAATTATACAGAGAAAACAGAGAGCTTCATATTTCTAAGGCAAAAAATTAGCAGAAGAATACAGTTGAAAGCATCCTCATAGGTATAAGGAATCATAGAATCATAGAATCC